CCCTCCAAAATTGGGGAGAGTCCCTCCTATATATAGAAAATCAAGCTAAAGGCTTGTATTTATCCCTCCATACACGTGTATGGAGATGAGCATCAGTGAACAACAGTTGGCACAGTTGGCAAATAAATATCTGAAAAAGGAGAAAAATGGCCACCAGCTATCATCAGTGGCCGATCGGCCACCACTGATGGCTGACAGGCACAAGCGATGACCGATGGACTTTGGGGATGGGCGACAAGCCACCCTCTCCTCCAGATTTGAAACAACAAGCTCTTGGTTCACTACCAAGCACAAAACAAACAAGTTGAGAGGCTCGAAGACAAGGCACTCCGCCAAGAACTTCAGGCACTCAAAATAAACATGAGCATACAAGATCATCGAGTGTTCAAATGATGACGTCCAAGTCTTGAGGACGGTAAAAAATGGGGTGTCTACACCAAGTGAAATGGGAAAAATTATCAACAGTTAAGAAAATATACTTTTTACCTCCAATGCTTTCGGTTTGAGTTGGTCCCTTTAGATCCATGTGAACAAGCTCAAGAGGACGCTTGGCTACCAAATGGTTCATCATTTTATGAGGAGCTTTGGTTTGCTTACCCAATTGGCATGGTTTGCACACAGAGTTGCTTGATTTTCCTAATTTAGGAATGCCCTGAACAAGTTCCTTGTTGGCCACTTTAGCTAGATCTTTGAAATTAATGTTGCCAAGTCGTTGATGCCAAAGATCAATATTGCAAGTGATGGAGGAATGACAAGTGCGGTCATTTGTGGAATGAATCACATAGCAATTGTCAGATGTGTGTATTCCATGAATCATAATATTTCCTTGTGTATCCAAAATTTGACATTTATCTTCTGAAAATAATAGCTCGTAATGTGAATCACACATGTGACTAATGTTAATCAAATTTGCCTCAAGTCCATCTATATCAAGTTTTGGTAGACTAAGAGCACTTATAGATTCCTTACCGATGACCTTAGAAGTGCTACCATCTCCAAAAGTGACATGACCTTCTTCAAAGTGATCAATTGTGGTAAAAAAGGACTTGTCACCGGACATGTGGTGTGAACAACCACTATCCAGATACAACATACTGGTGTCATGAGCTTCAAGAGCAGTGTGAACCACAAAGCATGTCAAGTCACATTTTCTAACCCAAATTGTTCTAGTTTTGATGTGAGGAGTCTTAACAAAATTTTGTTTTGGCATGAAAGATTGTCTCCTTACCTAGGAAGTGTTGGGATTTCCATTACTTCTTTTAACAAAACCATACAAATTGAAGCAATAGGGTGTATGTGACCAATTTTACCACAACGATGACATACAAACTTGTCATTTTTCTTATTAGGCATATGAGCAACAAGAGGAGTTGTATAGAGGTTACCTTTTGCAATGACAAACCCTTGCACACCTCGAGAATTGGTTGCGGAGGAAGTATTATACTTGGAGTTGAAACCTTTGATGAAGCCTAGACCACTCCTATCAAATCTCATTTGTTGAACACTATGGGCTGCATTCAGGTTCTTTGAGCTAGTGTTCCAAAGCTTGAGTGTAGCATTGGCTTCCATAAGTTCAAGTTCCCTTTTAGCATATTTTTCTTCAAGATCCTTTATTGTTTTTGCACTTTTCTCCACCTCATCTGAAAGAATACCAATTCTCTTTTTCAGTTCATCATGAGCACTAAGAAAATGATCTCTCTTGTGTTCACGAGAAGAGAGTTTGGCAATCAAAGTGGCTTTTTCCGTAATAACGGTGGTCATTTTTTTTTTAACACCATCGAGTTCATTCTTCAAGGGATCTTTTTCTTTCTCACATTCCTTCAAGTTTGTTGTGAGTATGAGATTTGTTTTGTGAGATTACGATATTCTTTATACATTTTCTCACAAGTCTTTTGAAAATCTTCTTCTTCACTATCAGAGGTCTCTTCATTGAGTGAACCAGAATTTTCAATAGGAAGATTAGTCCTAGCAACTAATGTCTTTTGATTTGGGGTGGACAGGGCTGCATTGAAAGCCATGAATGAACTCTCACTTGATTTCCTTCATTTTTCTTCTTATCTGACTCACTTTCATCATCCCATGTGCCTGTGATCATTTTCTTCATGTTTTTCTTAGAAGGACACTCAAGAGCAATATGACCAAAACCTTGGCATTCATAACACTTAACTTCTTGGGATCTAGTGTTCTTTTTGTTAGATTTTGCAAATGCTTTGAGTTTGTCATTCCCCTTTTCCTTAGAAGTTGAATCCTTGAGGTTTGCCGTTTTCTTTTTCATTTTTTTTTAATTTTAATTTTAATTTTAATTTTTATAGTAAACGATGCCATCATCTTGGATTCAAAATCGTCATTAAAATCAAATTTATTTACATCCTCATGAGTACTTTTGAAAGCTAAAACATCTTTTTATTTATTTATTTTGAGAGAAGATTTGACTTATAAGCTTGTAATTCCCAATCAACTAATCTAGTTTTAGAGTGTCAATGTTTTGAGGTTCTTCTATAGCTATAACTTTTGCTTGAAAATGATTGGGTAATGATCTCAATTTTTTTTGCAACAATCTTAGATTCAAGAATTTTCTTGCCCAAGGTAAAACTAGATTGACAATATCACTTAGCTTGGCATAAAATTCATAGAAGTGAATTTTTGAAGTTTAGATCGTTTAACAAAATTTGTGCCATCGTGAATTGTCTCAAGAATATCCCATGCTTCTTTAGCAACCTCACAAGTGCAAATGTGACAAAGCTAAAGAGAGCATTGATAGCCTGACTATTTTATTTTTCTCTTGAGTAGTCATTAGTATCCCATTTATCAATTGGTTTAGGGATAGTAACTTCTTCAATAATGATCATGGGTTTGCTCCAACCATTTATGACGGATTGCCAAACTTTCTCATCAATGGATTTTAAATATGCCTTCATTCAAGCTTTCCAATAAGAATAATTTGTTCTGTCACGTAAGGAAGGATGATGATTGAGGTTTTCCCCTTGGTTTAAATCCACAATCAATAATCACGAAGAAAAGATCACACCACTATAGTTTTATTGAAAACAAAGGACAAGTATCCCGCTTTAATACCAATTGAAAAATTAAAGTCCTGTGATCTTGTGATTATTGATTTAAGAATTCCAAACCAATCATGCTCAACTATTAAAGAGAAGATAAAGAGCAGACACAACACAAAGAATTTTTAGGTGGAAAAACCACAGTTGGAATCCACTAAAATGTGATAAAAAACCACAGGCCTTTGGTCACAAGAATAATCCATTATGAAGAAGAGTAGGACAAGAGATTTCTTACAAAGACCAATCCAGGCAAACAAGTTTGCTCAAGACCTACAAGTAGCTCAACCTCTATCCATCATCTTGTGGATATCCGTCTCTGCTATCGAATCCACAATAATGGTGTTGAGTCCATGACAAGCTTACACCTCAAGAACACTCATAAACTGTTTAGTGGTTTATTACAAACTTGATGATTTCATGAAAGATTTAAAAATGTAAATGACTAATCAAGTAAAAATGAGAGAAATATACAAAGAAACCTCACTACAACACTCTCTCAGAAAAGACTATCAATCTTCAGACTAAAGGGGATGAATTTACAAAACAGAACAAGCTCAATATAAATAGACAATCCACCATCGCGGACACGACCTTTTTGGTCGCTGGCATGAATGTGTCTTTTCTCAAGCGTAATACATCTTCGCGGGCTGCAAAGAAAAATCTGGGTGCTCATTTTGCTTGCGTGTGCAGACATGAAATGTTGAGAAGATATTGGGAGTATGTTTTCATCACGGCATGTTCATGAGCATGATGTCTCATCATCATGGGGGCAATAGAAATGATTGCTTAGTCGAATTTGTAGATTCGATTTCCTTCATCTCTTCAACCCATGCCCTGCAAAAATGGGCACACGTCAATCAACCACTTTTAGCCTCTTTCCATCAAATCTTTACCTATGTTTTTAGACAATCAATTCTAGACAATTAGTCCCCCTTTCCCCTTGTTTTGCAGTAGACAAACAACCACATTATCCCTGTAATTCTCATAATTTTCAGCCCTACAAAAACATACTTTAGCCCAGAAAACCAGACATCAACAGTTCTAATCAAATCTCAAATTGATCACTTCAAGATAGATATTTCAATAGTAAATCAATAATCAATATGCTTTGTCAAGAAAAGAATTTACGAAAAATAACAAAATCTTTAGGAAAAAAATCATAACAAGTTTAATTAATAATATTTGTTTTAGAATTTTGATTAAAATTAAGGACAAGATAGTTCATCAATTCTGCACTCATAGTTTCATGGTAAAATGTTCTGGATATGTGATGTATTCTTGGTAGGGCATTGCCATTTATTTCCCATAATGTTTTGATCTATATAAAATTGGATTGTCTAATATTTCCAGGCTAATTAGTCCTTGGAATGCAGTTATATTAATTTACCACTTTTCTAAGAATAAACATTTAAGAATTGTAATCCATTTGTGAGTTTTTCTGTTTTTTGAGAAAAAATAGTGAAACAAAAGCAATAATGAAGTTGATCCAAACAGTAATAACATGCATTGGAAAGGTTAAGGTTTTGTCTCATGATGCATGCACATGGTATTTTTGGTAGCAATCAATCTATTTTGTATAATGTTGATTCATCAAATCAAGTTGTATATGATCATTATAGCATAACACTTTATTAATAGTACACACATTGTTCATTCACTAATTGAAATAAAATTATTATTTGGCTTTGTTTCCAAATCAATCTAATACCTCTACACAATTATCTTCTAGTAACCATGATGTTACTTTAATTACCTTGTGCAAAGCTTGCACTTCAAACTGCTTTATCAGTAAGCTTATTTTAAGTTACTCGAGTGAATGGAAAATTTTTTGCACAAATCTTACTTATTCTATAGCATGGTACAATGTGAGAAACATCATATTTAACCTTTTTGCCATTATAGATAAGTTCTCTATTCCTCTAACAATGGAAAAAAGGTAAAACACTACCTACTAGACATGACATTTGTGTTTGCTACTTTTTTCTTCCACCGTCTCTATTACCACCCTTGTGTGACCTTTTTCCTTTCTTTTGTTGTTATCACTTAGCAATTCTTACAAACCATTTTGGTTTTCCAATTAAGAACATAAGATATCCCATTACCAATCCCAATACCATTCCACATACGTACCCCATTTGTACCACTTTCCAACTAAATCCACGTGCAAAAGATGGATAATCTTCCTTGTGCAACATAGGTGTTGGATGTAGTTGTGTCTTATTATCTTCACATTCCTTTGATAGAGGAAATCCACACAATGCCAAGTTCCCATTGTACGAGCTATTTTCAAATGTTTCAAATTGGTTGCCACGAGGTATGCGACCCTCAAGATGATTTTTTGAAAAATTTAAGACTGCAAGAAATGTCAAACTTGTCAATTGGCTAGGAATCTTACCAGAAAGTTGGTTTGAAGAGAGGTCCAAGGATTCAAGCGAACATAGATTTTCGAATGATGAAGGGATATTGCCAACAAGGTAGTTGTGAGATAAGTTAAGAAATCGAAGTGCATGAAGCTTTCCCATGACATTTGGAATCTCTCCACTAAATTTGTTGTGTGATAGGTCAATCGTCGTGAAAATTGTTAGAATTCTTGGTAATTCAATCTCAAGACCCTTTATCATGATTGTCACTGAATCATTATAGTAAGATTGCCCCATATATCTCAGTCCTACACTTTCATTGATGATCCTCATAGCTTTGAAATGCTTGAAATATGTTGTTGGTAAAAAGCCACTAAACTCATTGTGAGAGAGATCCAAGATTCGAAGTTTAGGAAAGGGTAGCTGAGTTTTGGAAGAGCCCATGGGACCATGAAGCTTATTGGATTGAAAGACAAGGACTTGCAACTCCAGAAGAGTTTCCAACCAGTAGGGGAATGTGTCATTTATACTGTTGTTCCCAAAGTCTGGTCCAAGGATTCAAGCGAACATAGATTTTCGAATGATGAAGGGATATTGCCAACAAGGTAGTTGTGAGATAAGTTAAGAAATCGAAGTGCATGAAGCTTTCCCATGACATTTGGAATCTCTCCACTAAATTTGTTGTGTGATAAGTCAATCGTCGTGAAAATTGTTAGAATTCTTGGTAATTCAATCTCAAGACCCTTTATCATGATTGTCACTGAATCATTATAGTAAGATTGCCCCATATATCTCAGTCCTACACTTTCATTGATGATCCTCATAGCTTTGAAATGCTTGAAATATGTTGTTGGCAAAAAGCCACTAAACTCATTGTGAGAGAGATCCAAGATTCGAAGTTTAGGAAAGGGTAGCTGAGCTTTGGAAGAGCCCATGGGACCATGAAGCTTATTGGATTGAAAGACAAGGACTTGCAACTCTAGAAGAGTTTCCAACCAGTAGGGGAATGTGTCATTTATACTGTTGTTCCCGAAGTCTAGAACTTCTAAGTGTCTACATGTTGCCAAGGATCGTGGCACTTTCCCTTCCAATTGATTCCCGTTTAAATTAATAGTCCTCAACTTGTTTCCCTCTACAAATGAGGTCGGAATGCTACCGTGAAAGTTATTCATTCTAAGATCTAACACACTGAGTACATTGCTGAAGTTTACTAAACATTGTGGAATTACACCACTCAAGCTATTATGAGACAAATCAAGGATCTCAACGGAACTCACATTGCAAATCGCCGAAGGGATCTCTGTGAATTTATTATGTGAGATAAAAAGGTTTCTCACCACAAGTGATGGGATGGGGCCACTTAGTTCATTGATGCTCAAATCTAACAATCGTAATGAATTATTTGGGAATTCTCGGAGTTGACCGTTGAGTCGATTAGCACCAAGGAGTAAGTGCAACAATGACGAAAGATTAAACAACCCAGATGGAATTGGACCTGTAATATTTGAAAAGTTTAAATAAATAAGTTGTGATTGAAATTGTTTCGTGATAAATCCAAATAAACAATCTGTGTAATGTTAGAATATATGTATATATATATATTGGGAATTTGACCTTTCCTTGAAACATTCAAAACAATCAACTATATAAGGTTGGCAAAATCATTAGGACTCTATTTAGCATTCAAACTTGTTACAGGATAAGTCTTTATAAGTCATTAGGACTCTATTTAGATTTCAAGTAAATTTTAATCAGTGAAGAATGCTAGTTAAAAATTGTAGGAGGTTATCGAACTTGTGAGATGATTGGAGCTCATCTTGATTCAAACATGATTCATCCATGTAGCAATTGATATCCGATCGTTTTGATTTTTTGAATGATAATTCTAACCAAAGAGTCATGAAAAGTGAACGATTTAGATTATCAAAATCGGCTCCAAAATATACCCACCAAACCCATTCTCTCAAATTGAATGACTATCCAACTTGAGAGAGCAATTGGATTTGGTGAACCCATTTTGGGGTCGACCTCGATAATTTGAACCGTTTACTTTATACAAACTATGAGAATCAACCAAACACGATAGCTTTCATACTCCCAAAATTTTGACTCAAAACATTCATGAATTTGAGGGACATATATATATATATATATGTGTGTGTGTGTGTGTGTGTGTGTGTGTGTGTGTGTGTGGACTGTGATAGTCTTAATATGTTTCAGTCATTTACATTTTGGATGGCCTAAATCGTTTGATAATCAATGGTCCCGTTTTGAAAATCTTAATTGTTCATTTTTTATGGTCCTCACTATATATATCATCATGAAAAAAACTAAGTTAATATAATTTGATAATCATAATCTTTTATTTTTATTACATTTGTCTCTTAAAAAATAGACAAATATTTTTTTTTTTAAAATAGACCATTTGATTTTTTGGATAGAAATACAATAAAATGAAAATAATACGATTATATGATCGACCTAATTTATTCTTTCATGGATTATATATATGACAAACCCTACAAAATAAATATTTCGGTTCATTAAAACATAATCCATGATGGGACTAACGGGCACTCAATTTATTTTCATGTGTGTCCAATTAGTTGATTGACTTGCAATTTGAGATCTACAAGCTAGGAAAGTCAAAAGCCCATAGTCATTGGAAGATTTCCAAAAGAAAGTCAAGTAAATTTTAATGATTATTAAAGAACACTAATAAAAAATCGCAGGATCTAATCGAACCTGTGAGATAATTGGAGCTCAAGTCAAATGTGTGCAGATTTGGAAGTTGTACTAATTCAGTTGAAATTCTTCCGTGAATGATGTTATATGCCAAGTCAATCCATGTTAAGTTTGAAGTATTGCCAAATGAAGGTGGAATGGTACCTGTAAAGTTATTTATTTATTTATTTTATAGTAAAAGAGTTATAAAAAAGAGTGCATTTCTCAACTCTATTGGTATGTCACCGAGTCCAATTTTGATTTTGTTTACAAATAGAAAGAGTTTGTAAACATATAAATAATACACACATTTTGATTACTGTAAAATAATAGATCATACCATTTTGGGTGGAGTTGTTAGACTTTTTGGGTGTAAAGTTCACACATTTGGGCCAATCATATTTTGTGTATTGTTCACGCACAAAAGGTGTGTGGGCAAATTCATTTTTGTATGCCACCGCTGAAACTATTAGCTTTAATAGATATGACATGAAGCATCTGACACCGGTGCAAACCTACAGTGATGAAAACAAATACAAATAAGGAGCAGACATTACAAGAAAAAACACATTTGGCGATTAAATTTTTAATCGCCAAAAGTCAATTTTTAGTCGTCAAAAGTCGGTTTTTAAATTTCCCCGACTAAATTTTTTAGTCGCCGGTTTGGTCGCTAGAAAACGGTCGCGAAAGATATTGGCGACTAAAACACTTTTAGTCGCCAAAAAGCAAGTCTTTAGCGACTAAAACTTTGGTCGCCAATAGTCAATTATATTTTTTAAATTATACATTTGGCGACTAAATTTTTAGTCGCCACTAGTCAATTATATTTTTTTAAATTATACATTTACCGACTAATATTTTAGTCGCTAATACTCAAGGAATCGGCGACCGAACGGATTTAGTCGCCAAAAGCTCATTCCGAAAAAAAAAAAAAATTTACACCTTACTCTTGTGGAGATTCAAACCATCAACCTCCCACACCATAAACCTTATACAAAACACTCCTTCCACTACGCCTCCATTACATCATATGATTATATATGCAATATATATTATTTATATAGTACTTAGACCCATATTAATATAAAAGTATATATATAAATATAATTATTTTTTTATTGAACATAATTTATGTAAAAATAAATTATTTAGTAGAAAAAAAGGACACCACTTTTGGCGACTAAACATAATTTTAGTCGCCAATTCTATACTTTTGGTTACTAATTATTTTTTAGTCGTTAAAAAAAAATTTCCCGGGCTAAAATTACCACTTTTGGCGCTAAACTTTTTTTAAGTCGCCAAAAAACCTCACTTTCGGCTACTAAACATGTTTTTAGTCACCAAATGCTTCACTTTTGGCTACTAATTTTTTTTAGCCATCAAAGGGCCTTATTTTTTGCTAATAAAATTTTTTTAGTCGGTAAAAGCGTCGCTTTTGGCGACCAAACAGATTTTTAATCGCCGAATGCCTCACTTTTGGCTACTAAATTTTTTTTAGGCCCCAAAAAGGCCTTACTTTTGGCTTCTAAAATTTTTTAGTCGCTAAAAGCTATATATCGGCGACCAAACAGATTTTTTGTTGCCAAAACCTATACTTTTGGCTACTAAATTTTTTTAGTCGCCAAAAGTCTTTACTTTTGGCTACTAATGCATTTTTAGTCGCCAAATGCTATACTTTCAGCGACGAAATGTGATTTTTTAGTCGCCAATAGTGCTTTTTCTTGTAGTGAGACAAGGAAATAATAAATAAGGAGAAATATATAATTCAATACGAAATAGATGACAATTTTACTTTTTAATCCATAGGATTAACGAATCATTAATGCAAATGAGGCAAGATGTGATGTGAACCCAAATTTTAACAAAATTTAGTATAATTATGTCAAAATTATGGGGGTCAATACATTTTTTTCAAACCTCAAAGAAGGTTAAGGCAGTTTTTCACCTTTTTCTTTTAGCTGAAATATGAGGAAATAATTATGAAAATCAACTAAACACCGTAAATGACTTTCAAACTCCCAAGATTGTAATGAATTTGAGGGTAGTAAAAAAGAAATAAAAAATAATATACAAGTTCACTATCTACACCCATTGAGAGATGCTTAACTAATAATTAGAAAAGATATGAGAGAAAAAGTTGTCTTAAATATTCTAATTGATTGTCGCATCATATGATTTGAAAATTGGATCTAATTTTTTGGTTTGAATAGCAATGCTAAAAAAAAAAAAAATACATGTAGGCTATCAAGACCTTAATATGTTTTCAGCCATTTATATTTTCATGTGTAGCTAGCTAGTAGATTGACTTATAATTTGAGCTCTGCAAGATGGGAATGTTAAGCCAGAGCTCAAGACAGAGCTCAAGACAGCTTAAGGAGTTGGTCAAGCCATCTAAGGCTAATACCCAAGGGATGAGAACGCGTATGAAGTTGAGGAGGTTACAATCCACTTGTGGTGGTTAAAAGAATCTGTTAGGAAGTTATGATAACATAACCATGGTTAGTTAGTTGATTGATTGAGTTAGGCAGTTACAGTGATTGTATAAGTGGCACAATTTGTATTGATTGGAAAATAAGGAAAATAAAATGATCTTCTTCAAATTTTTTTAGGGAAAGCCAAAAGTCCAAATCATTGGAAGATTTCCAAAAGGAAGGCATTAGAATTCAAGTAAATTTCAATGATTACTGAAAAATACTAGTTAAAAATTGCAGGAGGTTATCGAACCTGTGAGACGATTGTCAGTAAAGGAAATTGTCTGCAGATTTTGAAGTTGTCCTAATTCAGTTGGAATTCTTCCATGAATGTTGTTAAATTGTAACACAAGCCGTTGTAAGCTTGAAGTGTTGCCGAAGGAAAGTGGAATGGTACCTGTAAGCTTATTTTCTCCTAGTGCAAGATACCTCAAAAAGGGTAAGGTACTCAACTCTTTTGGTATGCTACCGTTAAAATTATTTTTTGTAAGATATATGAGACGAAGCATCCGACACCGGTGCAAATCCATTGGGATGCCTCCTTCCAACATATTGTTCGTTAACAATAGACTTGTCAAGTAATGCAAACGGCCAACTTCATCGGTCAGATGACCATGGAGGCTGTTGTTGCGTAGATCGAGCACTTGGAGGAAGGAAAGGTTACCGACACGAGAAGATATGGTGCCTTGGAGACCCATGCCGCGAAGGATCAAACCCGTGACTCTTTGACTACGACGGCTACAAGAGACCCCCGCCCAGCCACAAAAGTTGGTTTCTTGTGTCCAGTTACTCAACACATTATTGGGATCAAAGTTGATTGAGGATTTGAAGGAGAGGAGAGCCAATTGATCAGTGAAGTTTGAGGAACAAATGGCCAACTCAACCACGAGTGAATGCACTAGCAGGGCGCCCAGAAGGGAACCAATGTACAGTTTCTTCATAGCCATGATATGTAAACGGGAGTGGAAGAAATGAACATCCTCTTCACGCAATGATGATCCTTTTATATTATTTTTGATATATCATCCGAATTCTCATCTCTATATTGATTTAATAATTCTCATCACTTATATTTATTTCTAATATAATAGTGACAACTCAAATACTTCTTATGTTTCAAATTATTAGTCCATTTTTATTATCCAAAACATTCTAATAAATTGTTTATATTAAAAAGGTAAATTATGTGAATGGTCCCCATAATTTTCACAATATGTCAATTTAATTCCTATTGTTTTAATTTGCTCGATTTTGTCTCTTAATTTAATAGATTGTGTTATATTGGTTCGATAAATAACGGCAATTAGGTTTGGTGGATGGAAAGTTATCACGTGCTCAAACGGTCTGTCAATTTGGTCCATATAGTTTACACGATGTATCAACTTGGTCCTTGTTATTTTAATTTGCTCGATTTTGACAGGGACTAAATTAACACATCGTGTAAACTATAGGGATCAAATTGACACATCGTTTGAGTTTCCATCTACCAAATCTAACGACCGTTATTTATATGACCAATATGACACAATCTGTTAAATTAAGGGGCAAAATCAAGCAAATTAAAATGATATAGATCAAATTAATACATCGTGAACTATAAGGACCATTTGCATAATTTACCCTATTAAAAAAAAATTCAACAATTTTGAAGTCTTTATTTACAAGAACTAATTGAGATATTTTAATTTGTGATTTTAATTTTATTTTTTTTTCTTAACAAAAGGGGCACATTGTAAGAAATTTATACTTTTGTGATGAAGATTATAAATATTTGTAGTGTGTGATATGTCAATTTACCGTAAGAGTTAGGAAATGACGAATTTGTGGTGTGCATCATAAAATGAAAGTTAAACTTTTTCTAGTTAACAGCAATTTATGTTGATAACATTTATGTCATTTTATTTTTTAGGGTTTGGCTTCTACCAAGTTAGTAATTTCAACTTGAAAGAATGGTTGAGCTCAGTAGGCCTATTTTAGGGTCGACTTTGGTAATCTGAACCGTTAATTTTTTAGATTTTATTGAGTAGAATATTTATATAAAAAATCAAGATGACCAGAGATTAGTAACTATATTTTTGTAATCACATTTGTATTATAAAAATAAATAACCATTCTTTAAATTATATTTGTCATTCAATTTTTAAAAATAAAATGTTTTATTTCAATTCAATTATGTTTCTCCAATTTCAAAAATGAAACCCTACTAATTATTTATTTATTTATGTTTACTAAATTGATTCTAAAATAGTAAATAAAGAAAAAAAATTAGATTATCTCAAATGAAATATTACATATTTAAATTATATGAGTTAATTCCCCTTAAAAAAAATAAAAATAAAAAATAAAAATAGGGTGGGTGGTGAATTGTGGCCAGGACCGGCAGGCTAGGCATTATAAAAGGAATGAAGTGGACTTGACTCCCAGGTCTTCAAATAAATCAACCACCTCCAAACAACACATCAATACATTTTTGATTGAACCATTAATGAAAGTGCCAAATGGCACCTGCTGGGCATAGATTGGGGTCGGAATCAGGATGAAAGTGCCAAAGTGCCAAATGGCAGCTACTTGTTTTGAAAAAAGAGAAAAAAAAAAAAGACAGTTTAGGTTGAACTATGTAAATCTTGGTATTTTGTGATTGTTTCTTTCTCGTGAATTTACATAATTTATATGGTTCTACTACTCCGTATATTCGAAACCATTAACTATCTTGGTGTAATTGAGTTTTTTCTAAACTCTCCACACAACTAATACCATAAAGTCGAGAGCAAGGACTTTGTTGAGTCAAGGAGGAGAAACCGGCAGGTGTAGTCACAGGTGGTTCTCGGCAGCTTTGAAGCCTGTGTGACCGGTCAGGCGTAGGGTACTCGAGGCTGGCGTGGGTTCTTTTGTGTATCACTGTTTTAGGTGTGGGGCTCAAGATTTTGAATTGCTGTTTTATTTGTCTTTTTAAATATAAAATTGTGAGGCTTAAAGGTTGGTTGTAAAGACGTGAGTAGCAGTAGTAAAAGAGTGTTTTACTCTTCGAATCTCTCTCAATGCGTTCTTTTTTCCTTGTACCTTTAAATTTCATTTTTTTAATGAAATTTTTTCTTTGCCGATCAAAAAAAAGAAAAGAAAAAAAAACTAATACCATAAAGTGTTATAACCAAACACCTTTGAAGTATAACCAAAAAAGCTCCTCGATTATAACTAAACTTACAACCATAATGGGTCATAATTGAGTAATAAACAACTAGTGAAAACGCGTGCTATGCACGAGAAGTGAAAAAATTAATAAAATGTATTTATATGAAATAATATAAATAGTTAGATTTTTGTAAGAAAATAATGAAAAAAAAATAATCTAAACTTACAATTTAAGTTTTACAATTTTATCACAATTTATGTATCAATTTTTAATTTGTCACAATTTCAATAATGCAACTTTCAACCCCATTGCTAAAGTTATAAATTTGGGCGAGTTGAACCTAAGAAACTCGAGTCAAGCCTGTAAATTTGAAAATTTGTGCAACATAATTTTTAATTCGATGCGAACCTATGTAAAATTCAAAAATTTAAATAAATTTGAATGGACTTGGACAAAGATATCAAATAACCTAAGCAATCGAAACAAAATTGTATATATAAATATGTAAAATTATTTGCTAATTTATTTTTTTAATAATAAATAAGATTAATTAAACATTGAATATTACTGAACAAAAGCAAATACACCTTTTAGAAAGGGATTATCGAATAAGTTAATATTAAAAAACAATTATATTTATAATGGCATAAAATAATTTAAATATGATTTTTTAAAAATTATTTTTAATTTAAAAATTACAATAAAATATTTAAATATAATAAAATTAAATTTCTACAAAATAAAAATATCTGTATAAAAAAAATAAGAAGAAAATTTAGAATGGTATTCTCATTTGATTTGAAAATAATTATAAATTACCAATAAATTATCATCTACAACCCTCACTCTTTTAAATAAAAAATGATATTTTGCAAACCATTACTTTTAGTAGAAAAATAACATTTATTTCTATTTGTTTTAGCAAAACTCACTTTTTAGCAAATTTGAGCCAAAAGTTTTTCATTTTTTATTTTAGTTTGTGTAATTGACAATTGAGATTAAAAAAAAAAAAGGATCCATCATGTTTCGCAAGTGCTAAAAAAGTCTAGATAAACAATAAGAAAAATGTTTGAAATCCACAAAAAAAAAAAAAACACACCTACAATTGTATTTATAATAATGTGGTATCATATCTGTCAACGTTGAATTTGTTATACACTCAATGACATAGGGCTAAACTCTTTAATCACATCATTGTGGGTGAAAGTATAGGTCTGTAGTATTGATGTAATAATAAATTATCATATGTAACTCCCATTTTCTTTTTTTATTATACAAAAAAATAAAAAAAAAAAAGTTTCACCAACTATCACTTTTAATAGAAAAAAAGAAATGTTTATTTCTATTTGACTTTGGCAAAAGTTACTTCTTAACTATTTAAGGCAATTATTTTATTTTAATTTGTTTAATTGACAATTGAGATAATATATATATATATATATAATATCCATTATGTTTGGCAATTGTTAAAAAAGTCATTCATTTTCTTAATATTTTTGTATTTTGTCAAAAAAAAATATTTGCATTGAAAAAATTTATTGTTTAACTCCTTGTAGTTCATAAGGATATAAATTTTTTTATTATAAAATATAAAACCAAAAATGACAAAAAAAAATAAAAATATAAACTTTTAATAGTGATTAATAATTTGAATACACGTCACGCCCCACTTTTTATTCCTCGGGTAACATTATCAAATCCTTAATTATTATACAATTTCAGAGATAATGTATGAAACTTCAATACATTAATAAGGACACTTAAGTAAAAGTTCTCTCATCCGATTACATAATGAATGCAGCATGGGCCATAATTAAATGAATTCGCTTGCCGGCTTACATCATTACATAAAAAGAAAATGTTCCACCCTTTTTACAAGAACAGCATTCAGCCAACAAATAAAAGGCCCCGTGGCCAACAGATAATGAGAGTCCTCAATCTTGAATCACTTCTTGATAAATACCTGAAAAATGATTAGCAACGCGGGATGAACGCAAAGTCCAGTAGGGATCCCAACATGATCCTAAACAATAACAACATACAAATAGCTATGATCATGAATGCTTTAAGTCATACCATATACATAAGTGCCGGTTTATACTTGAAGATATATTTACATAGGTATTTTTCTCAAAATCATTTGATTTATTCAACAACACGAACCATTCGCTTTTCTTTTTTCTTGTTACCTCATTGTTTTAATCTTGCTAGACAATAACAGGTATTTGAAAACAAATCCACAAAGTCCAATTTCTTTACCCCCAATTATCGAACTTATAAACCCAATTCCAAATTACAATTTCTAGATAGAAACATCCCAAACGAACACGATGACAATACATATAAAATGCTCCTTTCATAACCATATAAGACACTTGACATTTTCCACAAAATAATTATCATAACACATGAAACACATAAATAGAACCGATATAATAACAAGAAATCCAACAACGCTCTACTTGCCTCAAGCATGGTAAACCAAAAATACACATTTCCAATACTCACGCCAATTTACCAGTCACAAGCTAGAAGGTAATGGTACCTTTGCTTAGCTCTTCAGGCGTTAGCTGGAAGGTATTGACACCTTAGATTCTAAGCACAGCCAATTCTCCAAGTGCTGGCTGGAGGGTAATGGTACCCCTGATTCTCAGCGCATGCACATTTCCAACCATCACATAACTTAACAAATATAAACAACTTGAATGTACTACATAAACAAAATCTATTCAACATCACAATGTCATCTTCCACAAATGACCAAGGACAAAACTTCTAAGCAAACTATATATATAAACACACGTAATACGATAATCT